GCAACTCCCCCTTTTTTATTTTAAAATTGCCAGGCTTGTCCAAGCTCAGGACATCCTACTAATTTTGCCGATGAATGCGGCTAAAAGCAAGCATACGTTGCGTCAGAAATTCTGATAAACAAGAGAGTATACAAGGAGCCATAAAAATCAGGATCAAAATAATTATCACAATCACTAAAGCATGTTTCCACCAATCACTTTTAAACCAATCAAACCATTGTGCTGGTAACAATGGAGTAGGGGAATCCATATTTCTTATCTGTTCTTGCATATCTTCTACTGCTTGGGACACATTGCCAGATACATCTGGTATAAACACACAACATTCTACCTTAATAATAGCACAGGTTCCTCCTTGTGCTGCAGTAATTATATCGAGAGCCATTCTATTTTGTAAAACTGCTTTTCTCATAAGCTTTTGTTTGGCATTTAACTCTTCCACCGCATGTTTTACATCGGTCAATGACTTTTGTGTAAAATTTGTCAATGCATTTACTTTAGTCATAACATCAACATTTCCTAATGAAGGAAGAAAAATAGCAGCAAGATAATCATACCATTTAAAAGCCACTCTAGTCCAATGAGCGTGCAAATTGGGCATGTTAGCAGGAATGTCCTGTACAGATTTTACAATTCTTCCTAGTGCTATAACAAAACCTAAAGTACACTGCCCTACCCATCCACAAGGCAGCCATGGCCATACATTAGTCCCACAGATCCATTTTGTTCCGTTGGATGCAACCCAACGATAGCCAGGATTTGTCCAATCTGATCCAGGCCATTTAAAAGGTTTTTTACATATAAATGTAACATCTATAGTCCATTTACAAAGTCTTTGAGATGTATATCCCAAATACTTCCAGTCTTTTTTTGTTAAAGTTCTTTCATTATACCTGCAAGGTTGCTCCTTTTGTTCCCAGCAAATATCTGCGGGATTCGTCAATTGTCCAGTCTCTGGTGTAATCCACATATATTCATCCCATATCTGGTAAAATTGTCCTGTAAGACGTCCGGATATGTCAGCTTCTTGTTGCTTTGCTTGTTCTGGGGTTCTACGATAAAGATCATTAGCTTCCTTTTCTGTAGCATTAAGATCAAAAAAGAATTCAGAGTGCATAACTTTTATAGAACACCAAGCAAGTGCAGATACATTTTGAGAATACAAATATCGTTGTTTTTGTTGTAACAGTAACTCACATATAGCATGAAATTCATGTTTAGTAACAGGCATAACCCACCAAGGCAAGCTGCCAACAGACAACGGCATAGCACTGCAAACCCAACAATCAGATGTATTATGGAATTCAGCATAAGATTGAGCCCATGACAAAAATACATTTGCTTGGGCACCAGGAAAGGGCATAAGAGCAACAGTACATGCCAAACTAGCGACCAGAAACATTAATGACATTTGTGGATTTTCAGTTGTTCTCGCTATCTGATTCGCTTCTTGAATCAGTTGTTGCGTTTGCGGAGTTGTTGGAAGAGGCGTCTTCTTTTGAAGTTGGAGCTGCTGAAGATGTTTTATTACTGCTTTCCTCCGTCTGGCGTACCAGCCTTTCCGGAAGCCAGCGCGGCGTGTCGGCATCCTGTGGAAAAACACAAACATGGCCTCTCCCCCACATTAAAACTGGATCGGGGCCGGCCCATTGATTAGTAAGTGGATCCTTCCATCTCACCAAAGGGTGGTGAGAGGGTTTTTGGTTCCAAAAGCGTTGAGCAGCTGAATTACCTTTAATATCATAAGTCAAAAAATTTAAAATAAAAAGGGCATGATGTAAATAGTTTTGTGGAGTAAGGGGATATAATTCCCCCTTCTTTAATTTATGAATCTGATGTTTAAGAGTTTGATGACAACGTTCCACAATTCCTTGCCCTTGCGGATTATAGGCAATTCCAGTTTTATGTTCAATTTTAAGTGTCTGGCAAAAGCGTTGAAACATCCGGCTAGTGTAGCCGGGGCCATTATCAGTTTTAAGTACACGAGGTTGACCCATGACAGCAAAACATTTTAAAAGATGATTAATACAGTGTTTGCTAGCTTCTCCAGTTTGTAAAGTAGCATGAATAAACCCTGAGCAAGTGTCAATGCTAACATGGACAAAAGGAGTGTTACGAAATTCTTTGATATGAGTAACATCCATTTGCCAAAGGTGATTAGGTAATAACCCACGGGGATTAACCCCATAATGAGGCACAGAAAATGTCGTAGGGCAGGTAGGTTTTTACAATTTGAAGAGCAGCTTCACGAGGGATTTTAAATTGCAGCCCCAAGCTATGACTATTTTGATGATGAAGCCCATGAGATTGTTTAGCTTCTTCAAGGGCAGGACAAAGCTGAGTGGCGCGATCAACATTAGCATTACCTTCAGAAAGAGGGCCAGGTAAATTAGTGTGTGCTCGGAGATGACCAAAATAGCAAGGATGACGGCAACTGTGAATAAGAAGTTGCACGTCAAAAAATAAGCGGTTGACATAGGAATTAACAGTGCCAATAAAGGGAACAGTTTCCAAAATTTGCAAGGCTCGAACGATATATTGGCTGTCAGAAAAAAGATTACAGGGCACATGTTGAACTGCTATTAAAGCAGCTTGAACTGCTAATAATTCTACAACTTGAGCAGAAGTTTGAGAAGTTTGCCAAGATACAGTCTCATCATCTATAATGTAAGCAGCAATACCATTGGATGACCCATCGGTGAACACTGTAGTGGCTGAGGAAAGAGGGGAAAGAACAGTATTTTTTGGGAAAAGAAATGGATGTAACTTCGCAAATTGAATTAACTTATCAGCAGGATAATGGGTAGTAATGCGTCCTGTAAAGTGAGTCAGAGCAAGAGCCCAAGAATCATTAAATTGTTGTAACTGAGCTTGTTGCTCTCTAGTATATGGAATTGTAATATAATGTGGGTCTCTGCCTAAATATAAAGTGGAGGCAGTACGTCCCTCTGCAATTAAAGAGCAGACTAAATCAGGATAAGCAGCTAAAGCTTTTGAAGGGGAAACATGCATATGTATCCAATACATAGGACTATGCTGATAAAGCTCTCCGGTTGGCATATGAGGAGTGGGTAAAATAAGTAAACCCCATTCTTGAGTATAATCACAGTAAGTACATTGCTGATTTTCAATAGCTTGCTCTACATCTCGTAAAGCCAGAGAAGCTTCAGCAGTTAATTTTCTAGGAGAGCGAGGATTGGCGTCTCCTTTAAGAATGTCAAATAAAGGCTTTAAAGTTCCTGTAGAAAGCTTTAAATAAGGGCGAATCCAATTGATATCGCCAAGAAATTTTTGAAAATCATTTAAAGTTAATAAAGAATCAGTATGTAACTGAATCTTTTGGGTTTGAAAGGTAAAATTATGTAGTCGAAAACCCAAATAAGCATATGGACAAAATCTCTGAACCTTTTCTTTCGCAATTTGAAGGCCGGAAGAATTTAAGGCTATTAACATTTGATCAAATACAGTTAACAAGTAGCCTTCTTGAGAATGTGCAATCAAACTATCATCCATATAGTGGATTAGATAAACATCTGGATACTTCAAACGAATAGGTTGTAAGGCTTTAGCAACAAATTTTTGACATAAGGTGGGGCTATTAGCCATACCTGATTTACCTTGAGGTAAAACCAGCCAATGATATCGTTGCATAGGTTCTTTAAAATTTGTGGAAGGAACACTGAATGCAAATCTTTTACAATCATCAGGATATAAGGGAATAGTATAAAAACAGTCTTTTAAATCAATAATAATTTTATATGTTCCATCGGGTATGGCCATAGGAGTAGGCAAGCCAGGCTGTAGAGCACCCATCAATTCTAAAGTTTCATTTACTTTACGTAAATCTTGTAACAATCTCCATTTCCCAGACTTTTTCTTAATAATAAATATGGGTGAATTCCATGGTGAATTAGAAGGAGCAATATGCCCGCTGTCCAATTGTTCCTGCACCAATTGTTTTGCAGCGGCAATTTTTTCTTGAGAAAGGGGCCATTGATCGACCCACACAGGTTGATCAGATTTCCATACAATAGGGTCTGTATGAGTCAAAGGACAGTCAAGGGCCCCCATTAAAAATACCCTAAGCCTGTTCTCTCTTTCCTTTAATTTGTAATGGCTGGGTAATCCCTTGATTATGTCTCCCAAGGCCTTTATTAGGATATAGTCCTTGTGATAATAGTTGATGAGAGACAGTGGGGTTAGGGCTATACAAAAATACCCCCATATTAGACATAATGTCTCTTCCCCACAAGTTAACAGGTAAGCCAGGGAGGATATAAGGCTGAAAAATTCCAGAGTGTCCCTCCGTGTCCTTCCAAGAAAGAAAAGCGGAGCTTTGTTCTGGATTGTGCGATTGCCCAATACCTTGCAGCATAGAAAGGGCAACCTGTTTAGGCTAGTTTTCAGGCCAATAAGGAGTGGCAATCACAGAGATATGTGCTCCAGTATCTAAAATTCCTTTAAATTTCTTTCCCTGAATTTCTAAGGTCAATTCGGGCCTCTGGCTGCCTATTTGCTGTATCCAATAGGCATCAGAAGAGCCAAAACCTGATGTGCCTCTCTTACGTTCAGTTTTAGTTTTCCCCATATTAAGAGTAGGCAAAAGAATTAATTGTGCAATACATTGTCCTGCAGGAATGGCTGTTATGGTCTGTGGAGAGTGAGCCATTATTTTTATCTCTCCTTCAAAATCAGAATCAATCACTCCTGGAGCAATTAACAATCCTTTCATAGTTGTGCTACTGCGACCTAACAATAGTCCTACACTGCTGGGAGGTAAGGGCCCATAAATTCCAGTAGGAAGGGCCTGCATTCCCATCTCTGGAGTTAATACTGTGTAGGTGGAGGCACAGAGGTCCAAACCTGCGCTTCCCGGGGTTGCTCTATAGAGGTCTGAAATGTTTGTCCGGGAAGAAACGGATTGTGACTGATCTGGGAGGTTGCCTGAATTGTCCCATAACATTGTTTCAGGGCCTGGGGCTGGCCTCTCACCCAGTTTCCCTGGTTCAGAAGTTGCCCGTTTATATCAGTTTTAGATCGGCAGTCTTTGGCCCAGTGTTTTCCTTTTTTACATTTGGGACATAAACCTGGGCTTGTGACTAATGTATCTTGGCCCGTTGGCTGTTGTCCCCTTTTAGGGCATTGATTTGCCCGATGCCCTAATTGGCCACAAGCATAACAACTGCCAGGGGGTCCAGCAACTCTGGAAGTTCCCTGAAAATTATGTTTGGGATGGCTTTGTTGAAACAAGACTTTCTTTACAGTTTTCCCTTGCAAGGCAGCAGCTAGGGCTATTCCTTGGACATAAGATGGCCCTATGTCAGCACAAATTCGTATAAAATCAGCTAAATGACTCTTTTTTCTGTAAGGTCTAAGGGCTGCCTGGCAAGCAGAATTAGCATTTTCATAAGCTAGTTGTTTTGCTAAGACCATTCCTGCCTGTTCATCCCCTATAACCTTACCAATAGTTTCCATGAGACGAGCAACAAAATCTTGATATGGCTCGTCGGGGCCTTGTCGAATTTTTGACAAATCTTCCGTTTTACATTCAGAATTTGGTAGCCGCCTCCATGCTTTTAATGCTGCCGCGTTTATTTGAGGATAAGCTCCGGGCAAACATCCTAACTGATAGTTAGTATCCTGGTATTGACCTTCCCCAGTCAATTGTTCGTAGGTGATTTGAATATTCTGTCGCTGATTAATATTGGCTGTAGCAGCGCAGTTTTCATAGAACTCTGATTTCCAGAGTAAAAAGTTGCCTCCGGATAAGCAGGCACGAGCTACTTGTTTCCAATCATTTGGGGGCAGATACTGATTTCCTAAACTCTCAGTAATGGCCTGAGTAAAAGGAGCAATAGGTCCATACTGAGCGCAGGCCATTTTTAATTCTTTTAGTTGTTTAAAAGGAATGGGTTCGTAATATCTTTGTTGTTGAGCATCCTCAAGAACCGGATATGCTAAAGAGAATCTGGGAATGTGTTCACCTTCTTTAGTAGCTTGTTG